TTCTGTTTCTTTAATGGGAAGCGATATTTCCATATGATAGTCAAGTTCTAGAGATGCTTATTTTTTACTGCGTTTGTCACTATAAGTGTTTTCAGGAGACAGAGCAACAGGATAAGTAGATTATATAATATTGGGATTTATAATAAGAATTATATATTTGATTTTTGTTTTGTTCTGATCCAGAGTTCCTAAAGCCCTTGAAATTTATTAAATGATGAGAACAATAAAGGTCTTTTGTTATGTTAAAATCATGAGTTCCTATCACACCAATGGATGGGGGCCAAAGGAACCCACAAAGGGACTTGGTGATTACAACCTTCATTCTCAGTACCCCTATCTCTTCCACCTCAGGTGGGAGGTGGGAGATACTGAAGGTTGAGCCCAATCACCAATGACCAATGATTTCATCAATTGTGTCTATGTAATGAAGCCTGTATAAAAACCCCAAGCCCTGAGTTTGGAAAACTAGGGTTTGTGGACACATCAAAACTGGCTCACCTGGAGAATTCATGGAAGCACCCTGCCCTTTCTTCATGGATTGCTCTGTGTATATCTTCCATGTGGCTGTTCCTGAGGTATATTCTTTCATAATAAACCAGTAGTCCAGTAAGTAAATGGGCTTCCTGAGTTATGAGTCTCTTTAGCAAGTTAATCAAATCCATGGAGGAATTTATGGGAACTTTTTATTTGTAACCAGTCGATCAGAATTGTAGTTAGTGTCTAAAATAGAGGGTAGTCTTGTGAGACTGAGCCTTTAACCTATGGAATTTTGATGCTGTCTCTGGGTAGGTAATACCAGAACTGACTTGCTTGGTGATGTTGGGAACGCCTCCCTATGAATTGGAATTGGGTACAGAACAATTTTTAGATAGATGTTTAGGAGACTTTTCAAAATTTAATTTCATTTTTTAATAATGTAAGCTACTCATATAGTCAGTCACATAGTCAATAAACTCTTCACATAGTTAATATTGAACATAGTCAAACATTTAATATAAGATATATTAAAAAATTTTAGCATCCTTGTCATTTCACACAATCTCTTTTTTCCCTCATGGATGAACTTTCCATTAACTTTATTGTTTATCATTCATTTTCAAAAAATATAAATAATGGGCCTCACTGGTAGTGCAGGCGGTTGAGCGCAGCACTGTGAAGCTGCCCGCAGCCTCTGCAGTGCCAGTTCAATCCCTGACGGCCACAGAGATACCCACACGGTGTGACGGACCTCTCCTGTCTCACCCACGGCTCCCCTCAGCAGTGTATTTCATCAGTCTGCCTGTTCTGTTCCCCGCTCTGTCTCTGGTGAATCCTCTCACCTTCCTGCACATCTGGCCTATACCCCAGTTCTTGTATAAATAAATAAATCTTTAAAATATATATATATAAATAATAAAATTTGGATGGTAGCATGATTGTTCATTTTTTTCCATGTTGCGTCTTTCAATTAATATATTCTGGACAGACTTGCTAGAATATAGAAGCAGTGTTTGGTTCTTTCTACATCTGTCTCATTGTCCAGTGAAGATGCATCATAATCTAATAGCCAGATTATGTCTTTATGTGTCTTTTGTGATGACAAATAGATTGCAAGTAATAGGATTATGTATTTATCTTTCTGTATTTTTCCTTGTCTGTTTCAAGAGTAAAATTTTTCAAAGCAAATTAATTTTGTTCAGTAAATGTATCTTATATTTTTAGTAAAGAGTTTTACTTAATCATTTGCTTCTTTGCCACCATCAATGTTGATAGTTATGATAGGGTTTTAAAGAGCCAGCATTTTCCCCAGCAGATCAAAGAAATAACTGAAAAATAAACATAAGGAATGACCGATATAGACAGAATACCAGACTTAAAGCTGATAAACCTAGATTATTGAAAGTGAATTGTTACCACATTGACCTTTCAAAACATTGCTTCCTTATTCTTAAAAACAACATCGGAAAGAGAATGAAATGTAGACCTTTCCAACAAAGCAGCAGAGCAAGAACAAGCAGGCCAGAATTAACTTGCATCAAGGTAGACAGGAAAAAGATAGCATGGCTTTGAGCTCAGCAGCTTCTTTTACCCTAGTTGGAAAGGTAAGTAAATCCTCTCTGAGAAATCAGTGAGGGCTACATGAGGAAAGTAAACCAGAAGCCATAAACTCTGGGTGTGCATTAACACATCTTTATATGGGATCATTAAAATGGAATCACTGCACATTAGCAAAATATTTACTCCAATTTCTAGAGTGCATTGAAAAAGTAAAATCCTCAGAATAATAAAACAGGATATTGAGCATAAAAAATACATAATAGTTATATCTATTGAAATAAAGTTCTCAGTTATCTAAGCAGTATTTGCATTCCTAACAGGAAAAAAAAATGTCACCAATAGATTTCTACTTAATCCTGGAACGAAAAAAAGAGTATACAATATCTTAATAACAATCAAGGAGAAATGTTGAATATTGACACTGACTGAGAAGTTATTTGTTAAAGTTGTTTTCCTATACTTTTTTTGGTATTATTTATTTATTTATTTTTATTTAAATATTATTTTTGTATTCCCCATACAATTACAACCCCCTTATTTTGACCCAATCCCTCCTTTAAGAAACCAGTCATGTCACTGCTTATATGAAAAATAGAGTGCACCTAGCCAAATGCGATTATCTGGCCATTTATTACATGGCAGAGTATTACCCTTTTCTCTCTGGAATCTACTATCAATCCCTATTATTTAATAAGGCAATTGTAGAAACTCACGAGGACAAATTTTCTCAAACAGCATATAAATAAATCAAGTTGCTTTCTGTATAGAAAGATGATCGAGGTAAACTCCTTCTGCTACAATGTGATCTGAGTTGGAAATATATCTTATTTAGAGTAAACTCATCACTAAATACTTTTTTTAATTCTTTGCTCCAGCCTCTTGAGTTAGCTATCTAGCAGCAGCTATGAACAACAGATTTAGAAAATAAAAAATATATAGGATTTCCAGTTAAATTTCATATAAACAACAAATAGATTTTTAGTAACTCATATATAATATTTATACTGAAGAATGTTAGTTTTCTTAATCTGAAATTCAAACTTCACTGAGCAGCTCTATCCTTATGACCAGGTACAATTCCTTGTGTCTAACCTGAGATACACAATCCTTTGTATTTCTATGACTATTAATTTGATGATACTATATTTATAGTAGTTCTACTGATAAATTTATCAATGATTAGATTATAGTAACATTTATCTGCTTCAGAAGATAAATATTTTCATTTATAAACTTTACAATATGCCACATCTGCATATCAACTTGAAGTATCATAACAAAAATATTATCTTTCACATTCAAGTGGCAATTTTCTAGTTAGATAAACACAGAGTAGACATTGATTTATGAAAACAGTATATCTTTTCCACTGGAAAATTTAACCATGGAAATCAACTTTAAAAAGACCTTTAATTTTATTCAATTATTTGAGCATTGATAGTTCTCTCTTGGTTTAAAATGTATTCTTAGATGTTGGATCAAACCCCAAAATGTAATGCTTCTATTAGGAGCCAAACTTATCATCAATTGAAATGGCTGCAAGGGTTCTAGTATAGGATTGTATTTTATTTTTTTAAGTGTAGGAATTTTTTAAAAGATTTGGTTATACAAGAGCCGGGGTACAGGCCAGAGGCGCAGGAGAGTGAGAGGATTCACCGGAGACAGAGTGGGGAGCCGAACAGGCAGACAGACTGAAAGCACTGTTGAGAGGAGGAGCAGGCAAGACAGGAGAGGTCTGACCTGCCATGTGGGTATCTCCCTGGCCAGCCGGGAATCAAACCCACACTGCAGAGGCTGCAGACAGCTTCATAGGGCTGTACTCAATCTGCTGTGCCACCAGGGAAGCCCTTTAGTGTAGGATTTTAAAGAGTACCCTCAATCTCACATCTTTACCTTTGGGAGACACAATGTTTATTGAAGTATGCCTCTACAGTGTTTATACATACATCTTACCATAAACTTGACAGGTAAAAGATATAGATCAAAAACCTGTTTTCTTTTTCCAGTGACCTGTAAAAGTGCTAAGTTTATTCTCCAAACTTGAGTTTGCAGATTTCCTCGGAGTAAATTAATAAAATTAAAAGGGTAGAGCCAGGGGCCTCCCTAGTTGTGTAGGGATTAAGTCTCAGCTATCACTGCTAAAGTCTGAGTTCGATCCACCACCAGGAACCTAACCCACATAAGGTGCAGCAGACCTCTATCTCACCTGCTACTCCCCTCATCAGTGTATTTCAGCAAATCTACCTGTTCTGATCCCCATTCTGTCTCTTTTGAATCCTCTCATCCCCTGCACCTCTGGCCTACACCCCAATTGTTCTATGAAAAAAAAAGTCTTTTATTTAGCAAATACTGTTTTAAAGGATAAAAAGCAAACAATTGAGTAGTACACATATCTTAAAACACACAGTTAAATTCTGTACCACAGGATTATTTGCATTTTGCAAAAACCATTATATCAGATACACTGTGTAGCATAACAAAAAAAATTAGGGCATTCAAGGTTTTTAGATATAACTCCATTGTTTTTTCTAAGCACAATATCATTAAATTACTTTTCACAAAATGACCCATATGAAAAGTCCTTTCTTGGATAATCATCTGTAACCACAATTATTTTTTGTAATTGATAAAGCATAAGTCAAGTAAACATCTTGTCTAATCATTTCTTTAAATAATCTTTTCCATTGTTATCATTTAAGGGTAGGAGATGACATGGATTGTTATGAACAGAATTAGATACCTCATTTTTACAATGTATTGAGACAAAAAAACAAGTTACTTATCAGATATTTATAATGACAGTAATTTGAAAATTATTAAACATATGTACACAATCATGCTGTGAACAAAATTATGACAAGTTTTCTTTGACAGCTATATGGTTTGAACATAAGATTCACTACAGTAAATCCTGTTATTTTTTGCAAATAATGTAACAAACTTGGTATTTATTTATCTTCTAGATGAAATGAATGATCATCAAAGTACCCTCTCCTACATCCTGATTAACCCATCTCCGGATACCAGACTGGAGCTGAATGATGTAGTGTGAGTTGATCTCATATCTTACAGAAATTTATTTTTAGAAAACCAAAAATGTATTTATTTGTATATGCACCATTATAGTCCCTTATTTATCTAGCCTCATATATGCCTAGAAATCTAAATGTATTTGTGTTCAATAGACAAATTTCACATTTTGCTGTGCACAATACTATTGGAAAGCATTCTAAGATTGTAAGAGTACAAAGGAAGGAAATAGTAGCATGAACTCTGCATTTTGTGAACTATTTCATATTTGGGGAAATAAGGAAAAATATATGGACTAATAAGAATAATTCAAAAGGAAACCTAAAATATCTAATACTATCTAGTTCTAAATACCTGAATGTTCCTAAAATCAAAATAAATAGGTCAAAATAGTAAAATGTTATTGTTAGTAAAATATGATTGATCAAAAATCATTGTGAATGTACAGTTCAACTAAAGTTGCCCTAAGAGTATACAATAGACATAAGACATTGTCCCTGATTTCAAATTGCTTGTATTCTAATTAATAAAAAACTAAAATTTGAGATTTAACAATGTAATAACAATATATAATATGACTTTGTCACTAACAAATTAAGCATTAATTGACAAGGACAGAGTTCTCTCCATATTGAAGAAGGAATTGTTCGAGTGATTACAAAGGATCTTAGACTTGAGCTATATTTTGAAGGATAGGTAAGATTTGTGTAGGTGGATAGCAGAGACCATTCCAAAGAGCAATAGATTGAGAAAATGCACTACAAGGGAACTGCATAATGTACCTCTGTTCACAATACTACCCAAATCAGTTTGACTGGAGTTAAAGTTTTGTATTTTTAACATTTCTGTTGTTCAGAAGTTAAGTATAATATTAGAAAATATATTAAAACTGACTTTTGAAGGATATTAGATGACAAAGTAAGGATTTTATCTGAACCTTATAGGTGATAGGTGGCACTTAGACATATAAGCAAGAAAGTAACACGATTATAAAAATGTGATTTGATAACTATTGACATAAGCTAAGAAGAAAAATTCCTGGTTAAAGTCTGGCCATGAGACAGGGGTGGAAAGAGCACAAGGGACTATGATGATAGTGCACAGGTGAATTGGTGGTGGGAATTTCATGGGAAATCATACATTGTACAATTATATATATATAAATTCTGGCCTTGAAGTCAAACTCCTGAGGCTGAGATGGATCAGCAGCTGCTTATCAAAAGTAATTAATTGCAGATTTTACTCATGACATAAAGCAAAAGCCAATGGTCTAGATATCTTGTGGGTACTAGGTCTACAGGATATCTTTGTTCCTATAATCAGGAAAATAAGTACTGTGATTAGAGACTAAGAGAAATGAGAACATTTTGATGCACACCATAAAATGGATCCATACAACCGCTTTCATGCTAAAGCTAAGAATATGCCAAAAATTAATTACCTACTTTTATATCTTTCCTGTATAGAAAGGATAGATGTTTTTTTAGAGTTTTAAACAAGGAACAGAACTGATTTGCAGTAAAGATTTAGGTGTTATGGTTGAGATAGATCTAAGAATCAGGAAATCAGTAAGCTGTTACACAGGTGTGAAGGAAATAGGAATCAGATAGTGATTTGTAAAGATAGGGTCCTACATACATAATTTATGAAGGCACACATCTCTGTCACATAAAAAAAAAAAAATGCTGGCTCACTGCAACATGTCAGAATAGGCAGGCAATTTTCCATGTGGAAAGAAGAGTGATGATGATACAGTGTTCAGTGAGCAAAGTGTAGATGTCTGGAGGGCATGTAGAGAGAGTACTGGAGCTTGAAATTGAAATTAGTTCTATGAAGAAAATATTTTTTTTTATCTTTTTGATGAATAAAGCTGAAAAGAGAATGTTTCCAAGTGAAGCAAGACATAAAACAGAAAAGGTGGGAGAACTGATATCAAAATGTTGACTAGCGTTCAGTTTTAGGGCAGAGAGATGAATGTGTCTCAACAATTTCTTAGGAAAATACATCAGCAGGAGTACACTGGCCCAAAACCAGTGTGAAAAGATTTCTGCAATGGTCCTAAGATAGAACTATTATTTATATAATAATGCTCTATTTTGCCATCTCTTGGTACTGGTTAGGTTATTGGAACTTTGAGCTGCTAGAGTTTTTGAGGCAGCTGCCAAAAATTATATCCTGTGGTTATTTGAATTTATAGAGGAAGTTAAGTAAGAAGAAATTGTCTTATTTATGATGCACCTGGCTTTCAACTGCCTGTTTTGGTGACTACATGACAACAGTAAAACAAAGTTGCTCTGATTTCCTTGTGTCCATATTTTATAAATATCTTCCTCCCTTTAAATGCATAAAAAGAGACCACTTTTATTAGTTCTCCAATCTGCACCCAAACATCTTATCACTTTTCCAAATTAATTATATTTGTATTAATTTTGTAGGCTTTTTTAAAGGTATATTTACCTTATTTGTATCTCAAAGTAAACTGTAAAATTTTTTGATCTGATATATCCGTTCCTGTGATTCTTTTTGATGGAATGGGAAAATATTGTTAGCCATTGGAGCCTTTAAGTATGTCCTTTTATCAAATAGGTGTTCAAAATTCAAAATAATTCCCCAGACTTTTAAAATTACAAATAAGCTGTGTATATTATAATGTATACAAGTAAAAAAGATATGACATTTTCTGTGTTTTTAATGCTATTATCTTTTATGTTTTAAGCTAAAATATCAGATTAACTGCTATAAAAATACCTTTCTTGCTATGAAATGTATTGTGGCATTGAAATTATAAATTTTAGGTTACTTCAGCAATGAAGACAATTGTAAAGAGGTATACTTAACATGTACTTTTTTATATTTATTGTTCTAAAGTATGCTTTAAAAACTTACTAGTATACTGTACTATACTAAAAGTTATACTCATGTACTGAGTATACTAAAAGTATAAAGTCTTTTATATACTACTTTTCATGATCTTAAAAGTAATATATGAAAACACATTTAAGAAATTTGTTTTATTAGACTCATAGGTTAAATAGTGATTATAACAGAGAAAGGAACTGTTGCAGCTACATCAATACATTCAGGGAGCAATGGAATATATTAATAGCTTTTATGTCTTTTTAAGAATTCGCTTTCAGAAGTTCATTTTAAATGAAGGGTGAGCATTAATTTGATTCAAAAAACAATAAATCACTGAAGATATGGCATTTCAAAACTTAATGTGCACTATTAGTTTTCTTAATTGATCTACAGTACAATTTATAGTTAAAGTAATTACAAAGCAGTGTGCATAGATAACAAAATCTAGCTCATAGATCCAAGGATACTAATCATAACTTTTGTTTAATCAAAGTATATAAACTGCAGTGTTTTAAATTGCCTTTTCTCATTTTCATTAAAGGATCCATTTTATGATTCTATTTCTCTAGTTTTTAAGAAGAAATATATTTTCATGAGATTTCTTACTTTTAAATTAGTTTCTCTTTTGTACCTTCTAAAATTAATATAATTAATAAGCTCATGAAGCAAGATTTTCTTAGAATGCTATGTTACATATATTTTGTATAGATATGCTATTTAGGTAATCTGAAAGCAGATCAAATATATTTGAAGTGGTAATGTAAAATGTCAGTATGAATTAGTTTTGTCTTTACCTACTATTATGCTTTTTTTGTGTGTGTTCTTCTTTTAGGTACTTAATCCGACCAGATCCATTAGCCTATCTTCCAAATAGTGAGCCTAGTCGAAAAAACAGCATCTGTAATGCCAGTGGACAAGATTCTCGAGAGGAAACTCAGCTTTGATAAAACAAAAATGATATTTTTATTTCTTCAAATATCTTGGTTTAAACAACTCTAAATCTTAGGGGAGGAAGTGTTACTAGCTTGAAAAACTAGATTGGAATATATTCAATTCTCTTATGTTTTAAGAAATCTACTCTCTTAGAAGTATAGATTATTTTGAAATTAATTTACTACTTATTGGAATGATTTTGAAAAACTAAAACATGAAAGTTTTAATCTGATATTTCATAATCCATAATGTCTGACGCCAATATTTTTAAGTATTAAGGTTTTTTTATGGAAGTAAATTAAAAATCCAACTATATTCGGTGCATCACAATGGACACACAAGATGTTGTTCCTCTTAAAAATTAAATGTCATACTATATTCTTTAAATTTGCTGTTTTATAAAATAGAGCTCATCATAAATGTCTAGTCTTCTCTACACAGAAACTGACAAAGAAACTTGTGTGGTTGACTTTTATGTAGAATCACAGTTTGCATTAGACTATAAATCTTTTAGTCATCTTAACTTTCTGTTTTCTCTTCCTAGTATATCATTTTAGATCTTGAGATGTTCATAGCATGTTTTATTTTTCTGAAGAAACCAAAAGAATCAAAAAATTATCAAGTAGCTGAAACTTTGGTAACTCTATGTCTGACACATACTGTATTCCAGGAAAAGTATACAAAAAACAAATATTTATTGTTCTCCTAAAAGAATGCTTACATAGATCAATACTTAAACCTTGTTTTCTTGAATTTAATCCAAGGATGGAAACATTAATTCAGTATATAGTAATGACTTCCATTGTACACTTAGACCTAAACATTTCCCATGTATTTGTTTCACTAGAAAATTATTTTAAAATTCAAAAAAGCAAAATTCCATATTCTTTATGGAATGAAAAGATACTTCAAAATATAAGAAGGTTGTCTTTTATGCCTTTAGTATTAAAGTAATCATACGCTCAGAAAATAGTAGTTAAGTTATTGATTTAATTTTGAAAAATCATTAATAGAAGTTACGTTTTAACATTGTAAAAGGAATGTAATGAAGTTAGATATATTTTGCAATTTAAATTTAATATAAATCATGCAGTTTTGCCAGCTATAAATTGAATTTATACCTTTGCTTTTGTCTGTATTGTTTTATCCCTAACACAAACAGACTGAAAAGCCAGGAGTGTCATTTGCCAGGTAATTAAAGTGTGTTCAGTTATTCCCATGAGAGAGACTTTGGTATATTTTTCTTCTAATTTGGTATTTTTCTTTATTCTTGAATTTGACTTTGAGTTTTAATTCAACAGAAAACAGGACCTAAAAGAGCTATTCTATTCTTTTCATGAAAAAGCAGATAAATTAGAAGGAAAATATGATCTTGAAAAACATAAAAAAGTATAACATTCTCCCCATTATTCTATGGAAATTAAAATGTAAAACATAAAAGGGAAATTAAAAATTATAGATGTTGTGTTATTTTGCTTAGGGAATATGAAAGACCTAATTTTTGTCTTTTAATATTTTATATTACCCTCTCTTTAGAATAACAAGAACACCATAATTTCCCCTAAAATAGAGAATACCTATCTTTCATTTGCTTTAATCAAAGATAAAGTTTGTAGTAAGTTACTTAAAATTGCAAGCATACCATAATTCTTTGTTTGCATTTGTATGTGTATATGTTTAAATTACATGAAATATATTTGTCAAATGCACATATTCACATGTAAATTGTTTAAACTGAAAAAAAGAATTGAAGTAATACATGTAATGGAGTAGAATAATGAATTTAATAAACTTTTTCACATTTGGCATCAGTAGTCAAATATGATGCTTCTTTGATTGCCATCACTTCACTCCACTACAGCTATTTTTAGGAAAAATGTAAGATTTTACAAATCTTCTACTTCCCCAGAAGAGCTCAAGTTTAGTATTTTTGCATTATGACAGTTGTTAAGACTAGGATTTTAAGCTAGGACATGACTATATTTCCTATAAAACTGAAAATTTTGTTTCTTAAATTTTACAATAATTATTTTTGATTATAAACATTAGTCCAAATTTAATATTTGACACAGTTCGTATCAGCTTGCTATAATAATGATAGTTTATTAGTCTTCTGTTATTTAAAGACTAAAATGCTTATAAAAGCCTTTTAAAAAACTGTTGCCTTTTTCAGATAATTATACTTGCACATAAATATGAAACATAAAGTCAATAATAGTCCCTATAATCCTATGGGAATTGATTCTGTTTATTGTCTATGTACCATTTTGCTACAGTTATATTGAATTGCTTTAAAATAAATAATAAAATTATTTCTGATGATGAAAACCCTTGGTTTTTGTTTGTTTATTTGCCAAACTTGGTTTTGACATATTATGCTTGAAAACTGCCCAATTCATTAGTCATTTTTGCATTTTAAGCCAATATAAATGTGAAGGTGATGTCATTGGAAAAGATAACCAGAAGTAAACTTTCTTTAAATTACTTCTTCATGTAATAGATTCCAAATACCAATGAGCACATATAAAAAGTCCCAGGAAAAGTCTCTTTTTTTTGCCAAAGGCCTGATTTGCAGAAACTCAGACTCCTAATCTCCTAATGCTCTGTGGTATTGGGTGGTTTGCTGGAGAGTGCTACCAGGAATTGTGGGGTTCAGCATGTCTAGAGGCCAGTAGTTTCTCTGGGCCATTGGTTTTGTAGCCAGTGAGTCCAATGACACACTTCCCCAAGACATCTTTCTCCAGATTTCAGCAAGTTCCAGCCGATCCTGATTCCAATCCTGTGGTCCCTTGGGCATGCTATCTCAGCCTTAAAGATGATAATGCATTTTTTCTTGTCTACTATTGCTGTAAAATTTTTAAATTCTTTTTACTTATTAACTAATCTGTCATTACTCTAGAGCTCTGCTTCAGTTAAGAACTCTCTATTTTAAACTTTCTCTGTCAAAATCATTTTGTGGTTTCTTTCCAGAGTGGACTCTAGCTGAGACATGATGCACAAATCAGCAGTTCTCATCTGATTAGATCTGAAGTAATGGTGCTGTCAAATTCCAAAGACTGATCTGAGGAAAATTTAGGAAAATTCAACAAATTAAGTATACCTGATGGAACTTTAAAGACAGTTGTCATCATGTGGAGCAGTAGGCCACTTTTATTTCACTGTGATTTCTGCTTTTATTTTTTAAGACTGTTCTCCAGTCTGTTTTACTCAGAAGGTAAGTTAGTTTCAATTGATAGATCAATGCAAGATTATAGAAAATGGCTCTAAAAAACAGTTACTAGGCTAATAATTAAATCTCTGTATTATATTATTATTCAATAGATTATATGTAGTTTTATTAATAACAACTACCATTTTTCAGTAGAAACAAGAAAATGATCTGTTCTAAGTACATGTAATAGAAGTTTCACTGTAATTTACTTACAATCCAATGAAATATATTGTTCTATACAGAGTTATATTTTTTCATTATCTACGACATACAAAATCTATTCCATTTATGTAACACCAGGCTCCATAGCTTTGTATTTTACAAAAGCAATCAGGAGTCTATAGCACCTTCAAAACTTTGTTTAGAGGTCTCCTCAGTACATTTCCAATTTTCATCACTTCAGTTTTCTACCTTCTATAAAGCACTAGAAAATGGTTAACACCTATGACAAAGATAACCTTTCATCCAGTTTCAGTAACGTGTTCCTCATTTCTGTTAGGGACCCCATTAGAATATCCTTTATGGTCCATATGCACTAACATTCTGTTTGTGACAACTTGGGTATTTTCTAAGATCAAGGTTTTCTTTATGACTCTCCTGTTCTCTTTCTAAGCTCTCCCTACAATCACCTTTAACAGTCTAGCACAACAATGTAGGATTTATCAAACACATTTCTCAAAACTCTTCTAGCTTCTAACTCATTATAGATACTTGGAGGTTCATTCCTGGTCAGGGAACGAAAACTGATAAAGGGTGAAACCAAGGGGTGCCAAGGCTTCCTAAATGTTAAAGAGAAAAAAATGTCATTTATACACACAAAAGAGAGCAATTAGTATTCTCTAGTATTCTCCAAGTTTTAAATAGGTAGAGAGAAGAGGAATAGGAAAGAGAAGAATTTCAAATAACAGACTCCCAATGAAACTCTGAAATCATCCATCCCCTTATGGGCAAATGCCCAGTCAACAGGCTAGGCCCAGAGCTAAATGGTTGAGGGCTGAAAGCAAAGTTGCCAGGGATCCAAGGCTCTGACAAGCAGGAAGATTAAGCAGCACCTACTGGGCTCAGAAAGGAGAGACCTGAACTTCACAATGTACTTTCCAATCTGGATAACTTACCACAAAGTCAACATGGCCAGTACCACTGTCCCTCGAGAGCCGGTTTGCTGGAAGCCCTAGAGCTGCAAAGTCCAGGAGTAGCCTGCCCATGTGTCCTCTGTTCCTCACACAATGGCCATGTTATTCTTACTGCCCAGTATTTTCCCCCATTCAGGCAGTCTTGTTCCTGACATGCTGCGATTTGTAGTCCAAGGTGTCGGATATGTTATCAGTAGGGGATGAAAGTGGGGTCCCACAACCTCAGCAAGTGCTGCTCCCCTTGCTGTGGTGATGTATCCTGCAATAGTTTCAGTTTTGTAGATTTTTTTTAACAGCAGCACCCCTACTTCTCAGAATCAGTTTCTGTCCTAGTCCATTCAGATGACTATAACAAAAGAACTGGGTAACTGAAACAACATATACTTATTTCTTATATTTCTGGAAATTCCATGTTCAGACAGAGTGTCAACAGACTTGGTGTCTGGTTTGAGATCTCACTTCCTGCCTCATAGATGTCTGCCTTCTTGTATATTCACATGGGGAAGTTGAGAGAAACAAGCTTTATTGGGACTCTTAAGAGCATACTCCTATTCATGAGGGCTCCACCTTCATTACTTCATCTAATTGTCTCCAAAGGTCCCATCTCTTATATCATCACTGGAGGGTAGGATTTCAACATATGAATTCCAGGAAATTGGCTTGATGGTTTAGCTATACAGAAGTAACAGATAAACACCATAAATTCAGTGGCTTATAAAATTTAAAAATATTAGATCCAGAAAGATACCCAGTGCAGAATTGATCTAACGTTTTAGAATATTAGATTTTTTTAAAATCACATGCAGGGCCTCCCTGGTGGTGCAAGGGGTTAAGCACCGCACTATGAA